TCCATGAACGTCTGGACCCACCTGGTAGCAGCGCTGATCTTGCTGCTGCGTTTCCAGCAGCTCTGGCAGCGGGTGGATTTTGGACAGGACCTGCACGCCCAACCCCTCCTCATCATCATCGTGGCGTCCATCACCTACCTGACGTTCAGCACCCTCGCTCACCTTCTGCAGGCCAAATCGGAGTTCTGGCACTACAGTTTCTTCTTCATGGACTACGTGGGGGTCACCGTTTACCAGTACGGCAGCGCTCTGGGCCACTACTACTACGCCATCGAGCCAAGCTGGCACGAGAAGATCCAAGGGTTTTACATGCCAGTGGCCGTCCTGTTGGCGTGGCTGTCCTGCGCCGGCTCCTGCTACGCCAAGTACCGGTACCAGCAGTCCGCTCACCTTCTGAGCCGGCTCTGCCAGGAGCTGCCCTCCGGCCTGGCGTACATGCTGGACATCAGCCCCGTGGTCCACCGCATCTACACCGCGCCGCCCTCCAAGCAGGCTGACCCGGCCCTTCTCTATCACAAATGCCAGGTGGTGTTTTTCCTCATCGGTGCCTTTTTTTTCTCACACCCTTACCCCGAGAAGTGGTTCCCTGGGAAGTGTCACTTCTTTGGGCAGAGCCATCAGATTTTCCACGTGTGCCTGGTGCTCTGCACGCTGGCGCAGATCGAGGCGGTGGTGTTGGACTATGAGTCCCGGCGACAGATCTATTCCACGCTTCAGGGTGATTTGGCGCACGACTTCTCCGCCCTGTGCCTCTTCACTGTCGCCTGCTCTGTCCTCACAGCCGCTTACATGGCCCGGAAGGTGAAGAACCAGCTGAGCTTCAAAGAGGAGTGAGAGCCCCGGGGGAGAAGCAGGTGAGCTCACCTGAACGGTTGATCTGCAGCCAGCGGTGGGGATGCGGGCATGAATCCGGCCACAAACTTCGAGGAGAGGAATGAAACGCTTCATGAACTGTTACTCGCCAGTGCTCTCTATAGGGAGGGAAAGAAAAAGCTGCTTTTAATGCTTTTTTTTAATTCAGAATTAGTTCCAGCTTGCTCTTAAGATGGTACACTGGTTTAATTCAGGTGTCTGAATAAACAGTTGGAACAAAACGTTGTAGCGCTGCAGCCTCATACCCTAACAGCGAGGGGCTGGGAAAGGTTCTTGGGAGCTGTGGCAAAAGGTAAGGAGATGCCATCCGGCCCCCTGAGCCGTGGCAGGATTTAACCCCTGGAACCAGACCGAGGTGAACTTGGACAAACCACACACGAGGGTAGCAAGTTTAATACCATTTCAGGCCCCTTTTATATGGCTGAGGGAGTGGTACAGGGCCAGGGCCTGTCCCTTACCCGTGGGTGAGCACGGCATGGATCCTGGCCTGGAAAAGTGCAGTGAGAGGAGAGTTGGAGAAGGTGGTTGGGGCAGGTTTGATGGAGGCTGAGCCCCAGGGCAACGGAGGGACCTCTGCACCCTCTGGGGTGGATGAGGCCCTGTAAACAGGCACAGTGTTGCCTGCGAGGGTTTGCAGCCCAGCACAAAGGGGGCAAAGGCAGGGCAGGAATCTGCTGGGCCCCACAGCTGAGGCGAGGGGCTGGGGGAGGTCAGGGCCTGGGTTGTGTTTCACAGGCAGGTGGGCTGGGAGAGCTGAAAAACCCGTGTGTATCGTGCTGCTCTCCCTCTGAACTACACAGCAGCCCATCTCCACTATCTCTGCGAGCGCTCAGTCCCCTTCTGCC